GGTACACCCAGTATCGCTCGCGCGGCTGCATTCTGGACTAATTGTAGTCTCCGAAAACTTTTCAGGGGCAGCCCCATGTAGAGCGATATTTCTTATTATCTTTTGCAAATATCATTTTGAACATAATCTAAACATTCAGAAACAGCTCCTGACTTTACATTTAGTGGGTCCAACAGAAATAAAATTTGTTCTGTGTTTTTTTGTCTGACTATTACAAATCTGGTGATTATAAGATGGACTCAAATGTAACTATGGAATTCTAGAAGAATTAGTTATTTTTATTTTTATTAAAAAGGAGTTAACCCACGTAGCCTGTAATCAATATTATGTAAAATAGATATCTGAGTTTCCAATTAGCAGGGCCAGTTTTTATTTTGTTAGCTTTATGTCCTGCTTTTTCTTCAGGAAGTCAAGGTAATACGTGGGGATCTTCCCTTTTTAATATGACCCTGAGGCCTGGGGATTATTGGTAGTGTAATCACAATGCAGGGACGGGGCGACTCAGTGGCTAAGACGCTGAGTTTGTCAATCAGAAAGGTCAGCAGTTCGAATCCCTAGCACCACATAACGGAGTGAGCTCCCGTTACTTGTCCCAGTTTAGCAGTTTGAAAGCATGTAAAAATGCAAGTAGAAAAATAGGAACCACTTTTGGTGGAAGGTAACAGCATTCCGTGCGCCTTCGGTGTTTAGTCATGCCAACCACATGACCATGGAGACGTCTTCAGACAGCATTGGCTCTTCAACTTTGAAACAGAGATGAGCACCGCCCCCTAGAGTCAGGAACAATTAGCACATATCTGCGAGGGGAACCTTTACCTTTACCTTTAATCACAAACAATGCATCTGAAGGGAACTCAAATGGAAACCGAACACATGAAATCTACTTACAAAAGAGGAACCTCCACAATCAGTTGAATGAGGCAGCAGAATAATTCTTCCATAAGATCTTCATATTCAGGTCCTAAAAGAAAATAAGGAAATTTTACTGGATACGTCAACGTTAGTACAGTAATCTTGCTTCCAAATTCTATCCAAATTTCCAGTTACCAAAAGTTTAAACTTCACCAGGCTTTTTTAAAAACAGTGTATTGTCTCTGCTCTAAGATTGTAACAAACCGATTGATTGAAAACAGTGTATTTTTAAAAATGGCTCAAAAATCAGCGGGTTGAAATACAGGCTAGGACAGTGAGGTACTCAGTAACTTTTCGGTACCGAGTGCCCAAATTGGAACATGCCTGCATGCGCTGAAGCACCAGAAATCCAAAGACCAGTCCATGCCTGTTTTCAGGCCATTTTCAGGCTGTTTTTCGTGCTATTTTCAGGCTGTTTTTCAGGATAAAAACAACCTAAAAATGGCCCAGAAAACAGCCCGAAAAACTACTTTTTTTTTTTGGCCTGTTTTTTGGCGCTCCAGATGATAGGCTCAAGATCTACATGGATCTTGACGGACTCCAACACTGGATCTTATCCAAGAAAATGGAATTCAAGATAGAGAAAAGTATAGCTTTACACTTGGGAAAGAAAAACCAAATGTGCAGGTCCCGATTAGGTGAAACCTGGCTCAAAAGCTGTAACTGTGAGAGGGATCCTGGAGTCCTAGTGGAAGATCACTTAAATATGAGCTAGTAGTGTGCGGCTACAGCCATAGAAGCCAATGCAGTGCAACAGAGGGATAGAATGAAGATCACGTGAAGTATTAGTGCCACTTTATAAAAACCTCAATAAGACCATACCTGGAATACTGCATCCAGTTTTGGTCACTGTTGTGGCTCGGCAGGAACCGTTGGAGCTGCCACCAGACTCCAACAGCGAGGGGTCTTATGAGTCGGCCCTGGAGGATGCAAAGGACCCAGGAGAGGGTTCCGACTCCGAGCAGGGCACAGAGAGACGGTTCCACCACAAAACCACGTTCGACTAAAGGGCGCTCGACGAAACCGCGTAGCTGACGTCATCACAGCGCGACAACNACACACACACACACACACACACACACACACATTTGATTTAAAACATATAACTTGGTATAAATTGTAGGTGATGACTGTGGAAGGGATGCACGAAAGCTCTTTGTAACCAATTGACACACTCTTTATAATTTGTAATGGAAGATACTTTTGGGGTGTTTGTTGTGTTTTGTCCACTTGTGTTTATTCAAGAATAAAAAAATATTTAAAAAAAGAAGAAGAAGGAGGTCACAATGGATAAGGGCAATCTTTTGTAAGTGGAGAAAACTGATCAAGTGGCTTACATTTTATGCTTCCTTTACAGGGCCTTCTGAACAAAAATAAGACCAAATAATGAAGTTCAAGCTGAGTTTTGAAGAAGCCGCTTCCCTTTCTATTGACATGTAATCAGCTTGTGGAGGACTCATAACCTGTGACAAACAAACTGGGAACCTCTGATCCAACAGCGTTATATGAATTGAGAAGGAAACCCGAGGACTTCCCGTAGCGATTTATTTTTTAAAAATGAGCATAAGAGCTATGTAATGAGACAAAATGCCTGTGATTTTGTTTTTGACATTTCTGACCACAGAAGGTCTTCCTTCTTCCAAATCAAACCAGCTATGGCAATGTTAAATTGGCACACCTCACTCCTGAATGTTTTATGCTTGTTGCACCCAATACAGATAGTCCTCGACTTATGACCACAATTAAGTCCCAAATACTAACTCAACGGCTAAGCAAGACCGCTAAAAGTGAGCTTTGCTCCGTTTTAAAACCTTTCTTGGCCCAGTTCCTAAGTAAATCACTGCGGCTGTTAAGTTAGTAACATGGTCGTTAAGTGAGTCTGGTTTCCCCCCTGACTTTGCTTGTCAGAAGGCCACAAGAGAGGATCGCACCACCATGGGGCGCTGCAACTGTCATGAATACATGTCAGTTGCCAAGCATTTGAATGTTGATCATGTGACATAAGGATGCTACAACGGTTGTAAGTGCCGTTGTAGTGCCATTGTAACTTCAAACAGTCACTAAATGAATGGTTGTTAAGTCAAGGACCACCTGTATTTTATCTTTGTTATACCATGATAAGCTTCCTTTCCAAATCATGAATTGTGTGTGTTGCAATGTTGCAGCCCAAGCTTCACCGTTTTAGTAGCATTGCAATTTCGCGTGCAACTCACAGAATTTAATTCATCATGACACTAACACACCATATCTCCCACTGAGTCCATAGGCGTGGACACCTATGTATACAATTTCTTATAGCTAAAGAGTATATTTCCTCAATATTTCAATAAATTTCAATATTTCAATATTCCCTGTCTTTTCTAACATTTATTCACACAGTATGTCCTTAAAATGCATTTAACCCAATTGCGGAATAACCCCAAATCTGGGTCTCCCACATATCTCAAATAATAAATTAGACAAGCAGACTGAATTGAATTGAATTGAAT